TTTTGAATTCTACCAAAAATCACAGCAGACTAGAACTTATTTGCAACTGTCACTGAGTTGTATGAGTTATATAGGTGCTGTTATTTTTTGAACTACTGGATTTGTAGTTAGCTTGGTCAGAATAATTCTAACTACTGTGGGATAATCTTTGGATTACTGATACTGAAAAGCAGTATAAATACTGTAAAACTCCTAGGATATTTTTGTTATGCTCTTTTTTGTAATTTGAGATTAGAATTTAAAAATACACAAGCTTGAATATGTGAATAAACTGAGATGCGAATAAACAGGAGACGGGTTTAGAAGTCATGGGAACTTTCTCAGTTCTGTTGTAAGACTTCTGTAATTCTGAGGAGTGGAATACTGAAATAGATTGAAGACTGTAATGGGCACATGATGAAAGATGGTAACTGATATGAGAGAGTTGAGTTTTGTGTGTTTTGTTTTCATCTCAGAAGATGTGTATGGGCATATGTGGGGCTGATACTCCTAAATTGCTATTACTGCATTAAAAATGTCCTCATCTGTCTTCAGGGCACTGATTTTTAATACAGAAAACTGAGTGTTGCTTTATTTCTAGCTCATCTTTCACCAAATTGTGTACTAACATTGTATGCTAATCATACAAGAGTGTATTGAATTCAGCGGCATAATTCAAAAGCAAAGAAAACTTTGCCTGCTGTGAGAGGTGTATCAGACACCTCCTGTTTTTAAAACAGACACTGTTTCTATAAAATGTAATTTTTGTCACCAGTAGTGCCACAGCTGTACTGCCCTGGCATGGCGCTGCTCATAGCCGTGTTTGAGAGGCCTGGTGCCTCTAAAGGTGTGTTTATTGGAGCAGCTGTGATGGGTGATGTCAGATGTCACTTAGCCCAGTGCCCGTCTCTGACAGAGGCCAACAGTTGATGTCTCCATAGAGACAAGAATTGTGCAAATAATAGAGAGGGTGGTCCATCTCTGGAGCAGTCTCTCTGCTTCAAACATTTTTTGGCTGAGAAGAAACTCTGAGCTTATGTTATACAGTAATTTGTTCTGTGTGTTGTTGGACCCAGCATGCAAATTAGAGGCGGGTAAAATGATGGTTCTCCCACCAGGAAATTTAGAGTAGCCAAAAATGCAATATTGTATTTCTGTATCAAATGTCCTTTTAATGTCAGAGATACAATAATGAGATAATACTTTTGTTTTCTTGCATATCTGTTCACCATTTTATTATGTATAAGAATATGTACGTTTCTTTTGTAGCCACGACATGAATACTTTAATGTACCAGTGTACTAAATGGCTTCATTCATCATGCATGCAGAGTTTCAGAGGAGGTAGACCTGTGACTTACTCATGACAGAACATTATCATCAGCTTGCTGAATCCAGTCATCTCGAATCTAATAGAATGCCACAACCATTCTCTGCTGTTGTACTTTCCTCTTCCCCCTCTGTTTTACAGTGTTGTCTTTTCACGTCTCATTTCAACAAAACTTGTGCTTGTTGGCATATGGTTTAACTTTTTTATTGTGTGTAAGCTTGAAGTCTTATGCTTAAAAGTTCTGTAGCATTTTCTGAGCTAAACATCTATATACTGTAACACCTTACTGTAACATTACTCAACCTGTGTTTATCTTTCAAATAGGTTGTGGTGGTATTTAAGCATACACTTAAAACCTGTAGATGAGGTTCATACTTAACAGAGAAACCAGTGAAGGAGTAGTATCATGTGAAATGTGTATACACACAAATATTACATGGTGTTATACACAGTTCTACACAGACTGTTATCGCAAAGGTGAAAATACCAATACTCTTTTCTGAAGACTGGCACATTAGTGTGACTGACTTTACAAAGAGGAGAAAGACAGTATTGATTAGGTCAAAGAGAATGACTTAGGTAAATTTGAAGCTAGAACATTTGTATTTAAATGTTCAAAACACTCTTGTGAGTAGTTGAACGGTTGCTGCCACTGAAGGTGAGAACAAGATCATTGCTTTACAAATGAATAATAGAATCATAGAATCATCAAAGTTGGAAAAGACCTCTAAGATCACTGAGTCCAACCATTAATGGTTAGGGTTGGAAAGATCTAAGTCCATTAACAGTATACTTGAAATATATCCTCTTAAATTGGCATTTCCAGATTTAAGTGCAGGCTGCCTTGTGTATCCGAGAACTGCCACTGCACATAAGTGCATTCCATTGAAAAGTGGGCAGAGTGAGAGGGCATGTATTGTATCCTCTATTTGTAACCTAAAACCAGTACTGGTTTTGAAAATTGTTTTAGTGTAATTAATAAGGAAGTGGTTACTGAGATAAACCACGAACAGTAGTTCTATATGTGGTAATGCACTACCTTCCAAATGTTAAACTGACATAAAAATGGGAGATTTAGGGGATTAGACAAAAGATTTGGATTGGATTTGCAGCATTCTGGAATCTTAGAAAACAAGATCATAGGAGTGGTTTTCCATTTCCAAGTTTGCCTTTTTTTCTGTAAGCCATTAACAATGTGTTTGGATGTCTGGTTAATGCTGCTTTAGCCTGCATTATTTCATGCCTGTTGGCTTAAAATGCTGTGCATTGAGCTGTAATGAGATGCTGTTTTTCTTGTTATCTGTATACAGCTGCTTGCTTCTAAATGACTAGGTAATGAATTGGCTTTTCTGGCATGTTTGAAATAAAGTATTGCATGCACTTTTGTCTCATGTGAATGACTTTTTTCCTCATCTGTGTTCTGATATTTCAAATTTGCATTGTTTGCCTTGGGTGATTCCGAGCTGCAGGTAGTGTATAATACTGCAGAACATTTTCCATTAGAATTGGATGAAATGTTTGACACTTACTAAAACAAATAATGTGAACAAAACATAATTCATTCTGTTTGTTTCTTAAAAGTCATAATTGATGAAATTATTCCTCTAGCAAAACACATTACCCTTTAGGTGTTCCTTGAGATTATAATGTTGATGAACCTGTAAGACTGCATGACTGCCTCAAGTTTACTGTTGTAGTATTAAAAAAAATGAAAATATTACTGTGTTTTATGGGTGAGATATCTGCGGACAAGTAGCCAGTGTCCTTGAAATAGGTTGCTTTAAATTGTTAGCCAATGACCTTGATTTACTTCAAGAAATTTAGTCATTTAAGTATATGCCTGCTGAAAATCACCTATGACTTTGAATTGGCAGTGGAGACAACAGTACTAAACTGCTCTGAAGACAGCAGCAGCAGTGCTCTGTATTTCTTCATAGCTATTGAGAAGTTTGTTTTGAGGCAACTTTTTAAATACTGTTTCACCTCTCAGTAACTCTTAAGTGTCCACTGCTGTCTAATCAATTTAAAACTGAAAAGTGGATCTATTACAAATATTTTCAAGACCCTAAAATGCTTGAGAAGGTATGTTCTGTTAGAATACCCTGAGTTCTGTTGCCATACTTAGTTAGCAATGTAGGATTTCTTGAGTAAAACCCTTAGGTTGGTGGATAGAGGAGATGTGTGTCTTCTAAAACGAATGCAACAAAGTAATCTGGGAATATAATAGAACAAGTTATATTAAAAATGCTACATAGCCATTTCTTCAATCGGTGTCTCCTTTTGGGGGATTTGTGTTAAAATACACATGTAAATCTTTAATCCTACTATCCTGTCTGGCTTTATCAAGGTCACTGCAGTTCTAAGAATATTTAAATATTGCATCAGTGAGGGGGAAAAAAAACAAGCCATCACTACATCTTTAATATACCAAGTATCTTGTTTCCAGATTTAACTTGCCTTTTTCTTCCAATTTCTTGCTTGCTGCTGGATTTTGGAAGCCATCTAAAAGTGCTCAGAGGAGGCCTGTTCCAAGCTCTGACTGACTTTTAAATGAGGTTGCCTTTAAAGTATCAGAGCTTGTTCCTTCTCTGCTGAATCACCTTATACATGAGCTGAATAAGGATACTAAACTTGATCATTTTGTGCTACATAGTCAAGGTTGAGAGAGAGACAATGTTTGGATGTTATTTGCAAGATTTGAAGTGTTTTATTATGTATTTTACTGACAACTTTTTTCTAATAAATATTTACAAAGAGTTGAAAAATAATTTGTTGGCTGCCTTAACTGTTATCTGCCTTTTTTTCTGCTGCATGACATGTCTTGTTTTAGGATGCTAAAGTAAGTTATTCATACTCTTGTTATTGAAACTCTGTTTGTTTCCATACGGACACAGTATCCCCTTGTATTTACTATGGCATTGTTAATCATTATGGAAAAGGTCAACCTAATGTTTCTCATGTAAACAATTTCTGTTGAGATACTGTGGAAATAATGAATATAAAACTGATGATAACCCTTTGGAATTTGGTATTAAACAACTTGCTCTGAATCTAAAGAAAGCTTTTTAAGATTAGAATTAACCTAAAGCATTATGCCTGGTGTGGAATAATAAAATTCCTGTCTTAGAAATTCCTCTACTTCTAAAAGGGGTGAATTTATTTGACACCAGGCATACCAAGGTACCTTGACCTGGTTTTATGAATTAAGCATGGGATCACTGTAAAAAACCCAGACTTTTTATAAAGAGCTTAAGGGATACTGTATCTTAGTTGCATCAGTAGTTTCATTCATCCATTTATTCATTATTCCCTAACAGATTTTTGAGACCCGTGAAACAATTCACCACAAAAATCACTGACTCCATTGCAAGATGCTTCCCCATCCCTCCCCAATTCCTGTCTCTTTTACTTGGTTGTGATTTGTTCCCTGCCAGTACATCTGAATTGTTTTATTTTTATTGCGCTTAAGGGCAATAAAATCTACCAGCTATTCCTGTGAACCATGACAATCTAATTAACAGCTCTGTGAAAAGTGCAGCTAATACCGTGTTTGCAAATAGCAGTACTTGTATGTTTTCGTGTCTTTCAGCTTTTCTGTTTTAATTCAGCATCTTCCATACTAACCCATGTTCAGTGCTGCTCAATAGAAACACAGGGTTCATTTACTGCTGTCTCAAATTTTCCCTCCGTAGGAAGCAGAGACCCCTCGTAGTGTACTTGAAGAAATCGGATTGACATAAATCTTCAGCTGATGCCATCTCAGTGTTTCATACTGTAAATGTTCACTGCCATCATTGTAATGTTTAGCTAATGGTGTAAGATGCTGTTTGTCAGTATTACTGTTTTGCTAAGCTGCTTCTTTCAGGCCTACAAGAAAAAATACTTCTTTTTAAAAAGGGAACAAGAAACCGAAGTTCAAAATTTATAATGAAAGGGAATTAGATTTAAATTGACTCAGTGTCTCCCTTCACTGCATTTATAGGAAAATTGCATTTGACTTCGATAAGTGTACTGTTTTTTATAAGGAAACTTGACTTCAGGAAATAAATGTATTATTATGACATAGCATAGCATATCTAAATGAAAAGAAACTACACAGACAACTCCAAATATGAAATGTCATGGTGTGGAAATTGTGTTTATGCAACCAAAGAATTTGTTCATCTACATTTTAGTCACCACTTATGATAATTCTGCTTATTTCAGTTGTTGCATAAAGAATGGAAATATCTGTTAACTACTGAATTTGTCATTATACCAAAGAATCCTGCCAGGATCTGCATATCAAACTGGTAAAAACTGTTAAGGTGATAACTGCTTTTTGCAAGAAAACTGCAAAGTGATTCGCTCACTAGACGTGAGGGTGTATTTTAGTGTAGCTACCTTGAGCAAAACTGTACAAGTTACTGTACTCAAAAGGGAATGCATGGAGGAAAGAAGGAAAAAAACTCAGAACAAATAAGGAAACTGTTTTTAGGTCTGATATTAGCTTTCTCTGACCATGAACACAGGAAAGGAGCTTTCTGACTGAATAGAGGGATTTGCATGATGAAAATCAAATACTTTCAAAGATGGGGAAGACGGAGTTTTACAAAAGGGACTTTTTATTATTTTCTTTCCAGGTTTACCAATTACTTTGTATTTTTGGTGTTTTATAGTTAAGCTTCAATGGGTGTATAGGTACCTGTAGGAAAAAGGCCACACTAAGTGTCAATGTCATTTAACTGCTTTTCTTGTTTTACACCTTAAACGTGGCACATCCCTTAGGAAACTCCTGTGTGATATACAGTTGAACCAACTAATTTGCAGTGAGAGCTCTTAGGTATTAGATTTGTATAGTATATTCATTGCAAATGTAAACTGATATCCAGTAATATTTTGACACTTTGAGCAGACTTTCAGTAATTCTAAACTAAACCTGCTTTGGTTGAGGAAATTCCACTGACGTGTGGTTTTGAGGAGGTAGGGCTGCACTTGGGAGCTGCCAAGTTCTGCTGTGTGTCTTCATGCTCCCCGTGGAGGTGGGATCATCCCTTCCCTCCCCAGGAATCTTGCTCTAGGAGTTGTGGCTTGTTCACTGCATAGTGCCACATTTTCACAAAGCTTGGCTCTGGCAGTGCTGATGGCAGCAGCACTTCCGTGGCCAGCTGGAGAGCTGGGCTGTGGGCTTGATGGGATCACAGTCAAGTAGCACCGAACAGGAAAAGTGCAGTGTTGCCACTTCCAAGGCTCCTGATCCAGATCCCAGCATAAATGCTTGTGGCAGCAGAAGGGCCAGCCAGGGCAGGGCTGTGTGTACTACTCCTGTGGCAGTATCGGGGTGGTACACGTGAACTCGGGGCATTAGAAGTTGTCTACTTATGCCCGTTCTAGGATTTACACTTGCAGATTCCAGATTGCTGGAGGCTGTTTTTGTCCCAGGGCATCTCCCCAGTGCACAGTGGGCAGGAATAGGTGAGGGTGAGATCGCAGTGGAATGACCCTGTGTGTGAGATTGACTTAAATTAAGGTAATTTTACTTCAAACCAGAAGCAATTTTATATGTTTTAAACATGTTTTTAAAGTTTACACTGTCACTTGTATGTGCTTGGCTGAATTAAGCTTTGTTGTGATTGTGACAAACTGTTTGACCTCTGTCTGTCACATTGATTTAGTTGTAATAAATGTCCATTTTTACACCATTGCTCTGTGTTTATATGTAATTAGTGCTGGTGTTTGCAGAGAAAAGAAGAGGCTACTCAGTGCTGGCTTAAAAAAAAAGGGGAAATTTTATTACAGTGCTTAACCTGTTCTTGAGCACTTCATTAAAAAATGTTGAGTATACTGTGTCCAAGATTAGTTATTTACATCCATTTAAATTGTACAGAAAGCAATAAATTAGCAAGTTTTTGGAAGGCTTACCACATTAAACATGAAATTTATTGAAGTGGATGTTAAATTGGTGGGGTAGTACCACTTCATTTGAAAATTAAAAGAAACCACATGTTCAGAGAGAGTTCTAGATAATGCAGATTGAATATTCAGTTCCTTTCATGGAATTCTGAGCAAGTCAATGCAACGTTCACAATCGTGGTCTCAACCAAAAATTTCTCAGATGAATCTGTTCTCCACCTTTCTAAAAGAACTGAACTGGTTGATGATGTCAGCAAAGCATGGGGAAAACTTACCATCTTTGGGCATTTCTGAAATTATTTGAAATAAAATTTTGTTTCTTGAATTTTCTGTCTTGTGGGGAAGGGGTGGGGGGAGCTAAAGAATCAATTGGAATTTCTGGATTGTTTAGGCAAGTTGATTGTTGGCTTGAGTGTCTTCAACTTCACTGACTTAAATCTTTACCTTGTGCCATGGATTATGCTTGTACAGCTTGCTTTACAGTCTGTCTCATGGCTTGACAAAGACAGTCAATGTTTCATCGTTTTTGGTTTTTAACTATAGATACTGAATTCAGCTGATATATCGGGGTTTATTTTAATTACAACAAGCTTACAGTGAAAACAAAAGGAGCTGCACTCTTCAGATGATGTAAGAAAGTAAGTTAGGCTGTTAGGTTACTAACTAGCATAGACTTTCATCTTTCATGTTTTGAAAGAAGTGCTGATCCAGGACAGGAAGCAATAGCATCTTTGAGCAGGCTCTTGCATGTCTTTAGAAAAAACTCCAAGTTATTTAGCACACAGGAATGTCACTGGTACACTTGAGAGCAGTTTCTGATACACTGAACGTGCTAACACAAAACCGGATCCAAGAGAGCCATGCTGCCACCACAGGGCATAAAGCTGGGAGAGGAGTCCCTTGGGATGCATTTTGGACAATGTGCCCTATACACAAAGGAAGAGGCCAGAGAGGGAAGGCCTTTCCGGGTACGCTTGTTCCCCTTCCATAAGAAATGCCATGCATTCAACACACAGACACGTGCTACCCCTCCTCACGCTGTGATGGGTGTTTGCTACTCTGGACAGGCAGGCAGGGAATGAAATCCCAGAGGGGGGCCAGCTGCAGCTGGAACAAAGGCAGTGCTGCAAGGGGGCAAGCCCAGTTACCTGATGCCTTAATTCTGCTGGGCAGCAACAGTGCCTGTGCCTATGGGAATTCCCACCATGGTGCCACTATTCCCCTTGTGCTGCTGGAACAAGGCAGCCTTGCTGCCAGGCGAGGCTGTTCCTGTTCCTATTCCCACAGACAGGCGGGAGCAGAACTTGCTCCCCATCCTGACTGAAACAGGGTGTCTGGCAGGCTCTGGCACTGCCACCCTCAACCTCTGCATAAGCACCCGCTCTCAGAATCACGCCAAAGCACCTCTGTGATCCCTACAGAATTCACAAGGGAAAAAATCTATTTTGAAAGCTGCTGCTTTTAAGCAGTCATTAAAAAACAAACCAAAACTTGGCCAATATTAGTTCACTTTATAAGGTCCTTTTCTGTGGAATATGCAGAATAACACGCAGTGGGAATAGGCTATTCATTGCAAATTTAAATCCTTTATGTGTTTTTCTGGGGCTTCGCCCCTTTGGGAGAGAAAAGAATTAAGCTTTAACATTAAAAAACTTGTAGTCTCTTTGTCTCTCCAGAATAAATAGCTTACTCAGCTAATAATAAAGAAACACAATACCATGCATATAACACTACTTAAGGCTATGAAGTAGAGAAACAATACTGAAAAATATGAACTCTGAAGTTAGAAAACTGGTTGGATCCCAGGTTTCATGCTGACAAATGCAAGCTAAATGTCAGATCTACAGCACTAAAATTCTGTGTAATAAACAGACTGCGGGTGAAAGTGAAGGATAATCACAGCTACCAGTCCTACACTGCACAGGTACAGCCAGCATGGTTGGGTCCAGACCTCAAGAAAAACAAGCTGAAGCTTCAGCCATGGTAGTAGCAGAAATAAAGTATATTTAAATTTTACATGCATCTCTGAGCAAGCCTTTTTTTTTAATTACAAGAACCTTTTTTTTAAAAAGAAAAATACAGCCACTCAGCTTCCCAGATGCCATTATAAAACTGTAGGGACAAGGAGCCTAATTACCTGTGGAATTCTCACATGGGTGAGAGTTTGTACTTAGCTTCTAATTCCACAGAGACCTGGTTTGCTTATTTCACCCAGCAGGTCACAGGTTCCCACCACCCACTCCACCACTCCTTGAGTTCGATAATTGATTTTGCTGGGATAATGCTCCACCACAGCCCAGCCGCGTGACACAGGATGCTCAGTGTCTGCAGATGTCCCAAGGCAGCTCTCCCACTGGAGAGCCTTGGCCAGCAGGCTGGGTCAGCAGCACGAGCTGTGAGAAGCAAGGCAGCCCCAGGGAAAGAAAGATACCAGCCTGCTGGTGACATCTCTGCACGCAGGAAATGCCAGTTCAGTTCTGCTCCAGGGAACTGAACCAGAGTTTGCCACATGCTGCACAAGTGAGCACTGAGACAATTGAGCATCTACAGAAAAACAGAAACCTCAGGAAAAATCTGTAAGGTCTAGTCAGAAAAAGGTATGTTATGAGAAACTGGTGGTCACAAATTTCTCAAATGGAATTTAAAATAAGTGCTGTCTATCCTTTGAAATACGCCTTTCAAAGTTAATATTTTAAAAGTTATGCCGTTACAATTCCTACATCTGTTAATAACTAAAACATTTAATCAAATTAACTAAGCTACAGCTCTGCCTACAGTTATGACAATATATAGTGAAAGTTGGGTTTGAACTGAACATCAATATATAGCACTTTAGTTGTATTACTCCATACTGGACAACAGTTACACATGAAGAAAGAAGGAAAAATGTATAATCAGCATGCTAGGTGCAGTATGCATTTAGAAAAGCAAAAATATATATATTTTATCCAGAAGCAAGGTTCACTCACTCTTAACTATCCTGGGGGGGGAAAAAACGTTCTTGCTGTGAGGAATGCTATTGGTAAAGTTTGGATAATCCAGATTTTCTATGGTAGTACGTTACATCATTGGAGTCTTAATGAATTCCTATTTGGGAGCACTTCATGCCTACTTCAGGCTTCTAACTCGTGGGTCTGATCTGTATTCTAAAGGCAGGAGGACAAGTTCTTCGGAGAAGCTAAAGAGAGGGAGGTATCTCTGCAGACCTGCACCTTCAGCCCCACAAACTGCTCTCTCCAAGCATCTGAGGTGTCCATGATAAATATCTGAAGTTAAGCTGTATGAAGTACAGTCCATCTAACAGCACAAGTCTTTCATTTAAAAGTGAAAAAATATTTATAAGGATTTATCTAACTGCAGGTACTTTACTAATACAGCTGTCATTTCAAAAAGGTTTTGTCCCTGTAACTTCATTTTTATGTACCCTACTCTCCACATTGGCTGTAGGAAAGCGAGGCAGTAGGGTGCCCAAAACTGTTTGTAAAATAAACCTAAAAACCATAAAAAGTCAAGTCCTCCTCTACCAAAAACAAAGTATTCTTTCAGGTATAAAACCTTCAGTTTCTTCAGCCACTGTGCAGCTATCTTGATCGAGCCTTCACAATCACATTTGCATCTTTGGTTCCCAGATGGGACACTTCCACCCCTCCAGCACAGGTTAAGCAAGTTGTTTTCACCTACAAATGGTGTGCAGCCAAGAAGTATGTGAAGTATTTTCTATCCTCACTCGAGGATTGCAGTTGCATGGTTTCTACTCTTACTTGGGGATTAAGGTACGGAATAAAATGATTGTTTCTCTGTGTACTTCCTACTCAGTTTTAGTCTACTGCAGTCCCTACAGGCAATTAGCCCAGCAGCTCAAGTCAGGGGAGAAAGAAAAATCCAACACTCATGACCACAAAGCTCCTACTGGGCAAGTACTGTACAATCAAACAGTGATGTCTTTGAGATCCCTTTACTCAAACTCATAATACGATTATATTTACTTTGTCTAGAAAGAGATTTCCCATAAACAGATGAAAAATACAAACGGCAGTTGTCTACACAGACCTTGGTCTGCAGTGTGCTGGGGTGTGAATTTACTGCACACTTGCTGTTCTGTACTAACTCCCTACAGAGACAGGAAACACTTAACACACACATAACAGAAATAAGCATATACCAAAGAGGCTTTACTTCTCTATTTGTACTCAGTGTGTATCCAGGTGTTGCAGCAGTTCGGAGGGACAGAGTAGCTAGAGTACTTGACGTTCACACCTTCTATAGGACTTAAAACTTTTAATTTTCTGAAGCTTAGCACACAATAAACTAGGTTCCTTTATTAGGAAGAAACATTTTAATGTGCAAGAACACTTTATTTGAAACTCAAAATATATCTGGTGCCCTATTGCAAAGATTTCTCTGTCAGATCTATTTTTGATCAATTACCGATTTCTAAAAATAACTCTCACTTTGTTTTGGGAGTTTCACTATTTTTTCCTCTGCTGCTCGATCTCTTTTTACCCCTGCTCCTGGATCGAGAGGAACTCCGGCTTCTGCTCCGACTGCGAGTTCGACTGTGACTTCTGCTGCGACTGCGGCCTCTCCTCTTTCTCCCCCTGCTGTGAGACCTCCTCCTCTCCCGGCTCCTCGACCGCCCCGATCGGCGCCGCCTCTTGTTTTTGCGGCGGTTCTTTTTTCTCTCAGACTCTCCATTTCTCCGGTAAGAATGATCTGGGCTCGGGCTGCCCCTTCTCCTGGACCGGCTGTAATAGTCATCACGATGGCTTGATCTGTTTCTCCTTTCAGAGTTTTTAGACAACTGATTAGTCCGTTCAGGAGAAATACGTATGTCTCTGTTGGCCTCCCAAAACTCATTGTTTGGGTTTTTGAATACGTGAAGAAAGTTGCAGTGTTTCCCTCTTGGACACTTCTGCCTTTCAAATAAGCCTGCAACAGAGTAGGGTTTGATTTTTTATGAACCAGATCATCTATTAAATCTCTTTCTTCATTATGTACCTCCTGGGGTGAAACTTAATAAACTGAATTTTGCTTCTCCAAACAGAAAAACATGCCTCTGACCACCTATCAATTTAATTCACACAAGATTAATTTTCCCCATGTGCTTTTCTTGGAATTAACTTTTTAACAGCTATGAAAGTTTGGTTTTAGCTTAGAACAAATTTCATTTTTCATTTCATTAAATTTCATTTATCTTTATCTAAGAGTGTAAATCTAGATAAGTTAAATGTGATAGCTACTGCTAAGAACTGTTGATAGTTCAGAAACTGCTGCTGCTTTTTGAGAGATAAAGTAGTACTTCATGTAGTTTCATCCTAAGATTATTATTTCCAAAGCTAGAATCCAAACTTTCTTTTCCAGTCCAAGGTAAATCCACTAAAACAATTCAGGCACTTACATGCCGTGGTATAATATTCCTTTGCTTTCCTAGATCTACACAAGCAAGTTAGCACATTTGTTTTCCAAATGGAAATGAACTACAACATTAGGCAGATCTGAAAGCTGCAGACTAATCCTTCTTTTTCACTTCCATTAGTACTCTTTGAGTAACACTTATTCTCTTTTCCAAGTGTTTACATGACTCACCACAAATAGCAGTTTTCCACCTCGTCACAGGACAGAATTCACAATGAAGCTGTCTGCCTGCATACCATCGTCCACTGAACAGGGCCAGGGCTGCCTGACAGTCCTTCTCCCTTTAAAAAGCGGAACGACACACAGCATTACCATCACACAATCAGTTCAGATATCACTTACCAATTACAGTATGAGAATGAATCACATGGATTATATAAACACTTCTTATTCATTACTCAATGCTGGAGTTTAGCTCTAGCACTGAGTACGACTGCAAGTACTTACGACTGGTACTGGACATAGACATTTCCTCGCAGGTGAGGCTCATAGTTGCAGCTGACCTGAGGGGATGGAAACACGAAGTCAGTGCAGTGGAAGGTTTATGCTGTACAGCAGCTCCTGCATTCTGAGATGGGCCATTCATTTATGAGAGCTCATCCATATCAACTTAGATATGATTTTCTTCTGAACACTTAGTTTTAACCAAAAAAAAAAGAAAAAAGCCCTTCTGGCTTATGTTTGACTGTTTCCAGCATTATGCATTGATTAACTCTGGGACCTCGGCTTCACTTAGCCCACAAGACAGCTTATACTCCATTGTCTTGCACTTGTCCGGGCCAACCCTTTGTCTGTGCAACAGACAAATCTGCTCTGAAAACAATTAGTAGTATCCTCATGTGGAAATGTGGGATTCATTACAGTAAGAGACTCTTTAGAGCAATTTACCTTCACAGCATCCCCGTGAGATGGGTTAGAAAAGCTGAAGTCACCAGCTTTCACTGTACAGGTTCTAAAAACCCTTTTTTTGTAATGATTTAGCATTCAGAGTATATCTAAAGTTCTCAAAAAATACACAAATTACCTTCCAAAAAGCTTGCTGCTAGTTACAAAAGATTCTGATGGGCAGGCCCAGGCAGGTGGAACACAGTTCCCCAGGGCAGAACTGCGATCCCAACCCCTGTTGCCCCCAGGCCTCTTCCAGTATCTGCACAGATGAGGCTAGCAGCTCCTTTCATCCCTGAACCCTGACTGATCCTCAGGAAATATTTCTTTGTGCACTGGATCAGGAAAGGGCTTCAGTCACAACAACAAGCAGTTGTATAATTAAATATTACAGGAAGGAGTCAAACTATTTGAGATAAACAATGTCAACACAAGAACAACTGAGAATGATTTTGGCGTAGACATTTTTGGGTAGGAAGAGTGTTTTATTAGGATCTCCCAGACTCTGGAGCAGCTTCCCAGAAAGAACAGCAAGAATAAAACCTTGGGCTACACTGGAAAAGGAAATGAGCTGAAAGAGGGGTGTGTATAATCTGATTCTAAATAGTTGCAGAGACTCAGCTCACTCACAGTTAAGATCCCTGCAGCCAACATGTCATTCTGAAGCATATCTAATGTAATGAAAATGTCCATAAGAATCACCCTGTGATTGCACAATTGCCTTGGAAGCCAAGGAATGCCACACAGTCACAGGGACCCAAGTAGGTGCAGCTTAGCACAGCCACACAAAACGACGATACAAAGTCAAGGACCTGACTTTGCTGGTAAGACATTTTAACCCACCTCCATAGGGAATCTACATCCCATCTTCTAGCACAGACCACAGCTTGCTGATAGCCCATGAGCCAAATACGGAGGGGATACTTCTCCAAACAAGTGAAGGTTTCTTACCTATAAAGCTCATTACACAACTATTGAAAATTCACTCTTTCTACTTTCCTCTTGCTTGAAATGCTAATACCACCTCAGTCCCGAGGCAGCTGTCAGTAGATGGAAACAAAAGAGAAAAGGCACCATGTGCCTCCTGGTGACTGCAAGAAAACACTCAGGAATGGCAAGCAGAAAGGGATGCTGCAATAGATTCTGATACAAGGAGATTTCATCATCCAAGCTGCATAATTTGGGGCAACATGGGACTGTTAACACACATCGTTCATCTCAGTGGTCTCCATTTACAGATCCCTGTTTTTCCCCATAAGAAAATCACAATATAAATGGGGAAAAATTCAGTACAAAACATTCAGCAAACCAAATGCACAAACTAAGGATGGATGACAAATCTAAACACCATTTACATAATTTACCTTTTTATAATTCTTCCTACTGGAATACCTACTAGCTTTTCAGTTCTTTGTAATCTGATTTTATTTTATCCAGCCAGTCCTAAAATGACATTGCTTGGGTGTACACTCCAAATACATTTCATACCCCCACTATTTCATTCCCTAGGCACAAATACAGTAGCTCAGATGTAGTTATACTGTCTAACCATCTCAGTGGACCCTCTGGGGCTTAGCACAGGATAAAGAAAGGACTGTGAGGTAAGTGGGCTGTTGAGCAATGTGAAGAACTTGCAATATAAAAGCACAAGCTTATGTAACAGTTCAGGGGAATGGGAGAGAAGATTCACCCAGAGGAAGACAATGCTCTGTAACAGCAGTGGCAAGTTTACAGGTGACATGAGAGATGTACAGCTTGCTGTAAGGACACTATAGTTTCCTAATGCACACAGGATTTAGCTAGGGCATGCCGGACAAAATTTTTCTTAAGGCTTGTAAACCACACTTAGATGCATACCTTGAACTGAACAACCTTCCCCACATTCTGAAATTCAGGGAGCACATCCTCATAGAACTCCAGGAACTGCTGGTAGGTCTCCTCATCACTATACTCAAGACTTGCATCTGTGTCATAGTCATCCCTCCGGCACTGCTCCATGCCAAAGGTGATGAACATCCCTCGGACGAGGAGTGTCTTGCTGGATGTTGGGTAGTTATGCTTGCGAGAACACCTGGAGAATAGTAGAGAAGAAAGAAAAGTGGAAAGATTGGCACTTGCAGCAGAAAATGCATTTGTTGAAGCTTCAAACACTTGCCATTTTCAGTTACAGTTATTATAAAAGAAAATCCATTAGTGGGAGATCAGTGTATTTCAATTAGTAAAACAAATCTTTTGGAGTGAGTTTGCATATAATCTTAATGCTTCCTGCCATGCACAAATACATTGTTCCTAAGAAAGCGTATCTACAAAAGCTATAGATATCAGCGTCACAATGAGAGCTAAAGTAATTTCTTTTAGGCTACTAGGGTTAAATGTGTTCCCAATTTCTGAAGAGCTTAAAAGATTGCCAGTATTCTTTCTATAAATTCATCTTAAAGCAAATCCCTGCTCTTCTTTCCACAAACTAAACAACTTTTACTGAAATTGTTCTCATCATATAGGGGTGGAGAGAAGGAGTGAGGGAAGGACAGCATGTTTAGACCTGTGGTTGGGTAAGTACAAGACTGCTATTTTTCCACTTCTAAAAAATAAAATAAAATAAAAAACTCCTTTAAGTCAGTCTTATCTTAATCTGCATCCTCTTTGCAGCCATAAAACTATTAGGTCTCCCTCACCATCCATCATATTCAAGCTACCTCCCTCACATGCTGAAATACAGTTCTCCCCCAGACACCTTTAGATCCACTAAGAACACAGATGTTGGCCTCCATGTTTATTTCATTGTGCTCAGTGATCTCCATTTCATACTTCCCCAAGCAACTGGGTCATGCACTCTCCAACACATTTCTCCTTTTCCGGACATGCTCAGAAAAACATCCAGACTAGTCTGCCCTCTTCGTCTGGCACTGGCACAGCACAGCACAAACTGCAGGGAGGTCAGGTCTCAAAATGGGCAATTCCAACCTAGACTTCCGCTATGAAGTGTCTTTCTGCACCCAGTCAGTCAGTCACCTTCTGGTTGACACTTTAGACTTTAAAAAAAGCACCCTATCTCCAAACCCAAAACTAAACCAGGAGACAACTAATTTGATGATTATTTTTTTTTTACATTTTAGAAGCTGCCTCCTTTTGCTGTTCAATTTGAATAATAGAACTCAAAATATTAAATCCAACCAATATTGCCTGTACACAAAATGAATACAGCACATGACAGAACAAAAGGAAATTAATGACCCAAAAATCCAGTATTACTGCAAAATATTAGGGTTTGAATTAGAGGAAATGGATAATAGTGAACTCAGCCAGTTTTAGCTTCTTCAAGATACAGTGAGCTTTGACAAGATTCAACAATTATTTATTGGTAACACTGGCTCTTAGTTTTTCCCAACTGCTTCCAACCCATCCTTCCAGTCCTTACCCTGGCAGTACCTGTCCTTCAACTTACAGACAGCACCAGTGGTTAAAATGACCAGAATATGAAGGAAGCAGGTATGGGAGGAGAAAGAAGGAAGATGGAGAGGTACCTGAGATCAACAACTATGGATGAAAGAAGAAGGGCAGAATATGATGTTTCTCAGTATTTGTTTTCCAAGCATTATTCACAGTTCAAAGCAAAGTTGAATTCTGTGCAATCCATAAATAATCCATGGAGGTTACCTCTATTAAAGACCACTGAAACAAAAATACTGCAAAGACCTAGACATTTGAAAAGCAAAAATGGTGTCTGCAGTGAAATAGCTGGCCAAATCTTTATTATGGAATTCAACACATATTTCAGAATAGAAAAAAAAGATGTGGACTTGAAGCTTCCATACAGGTGAATTATCACATAATTATTCACAATATACATCACACTGAAACAAATTACTCCTAGGATAAAGAGAACTATGATAGCTGGACCACACACATTTAAGTGATACAAGTTAGTAAAATAGCCTTATTAGTTTATGCTGAAGATTCATGTAATAAATATCAGTCTCCTTCCCTGCTAAGATGTTATTCCTCCTAAACACAACAACAAAAAAAAATCAGGTATTTTCTAGTCAGATGCTGCATTTGGGTCATCATTGTTCCTGGTCACTGATGAACATGAACTCATACTCCATGAATCTGTTTACACTTTTGGCTTTCTCTATGTCCTCAGGCAACAGGTTTTGCCATTTGTTTCATATGAGAAGTCCTTTCTTTTTTAAAGCTGGTAAACACTCAGACACACTTGATTAAACTGCAAATAATCCTTTCCATCCTACCATGAATTTCCTGTTCATCTACCACAGCCCTCTTCCATCCCTTCTTTAAAAAGAGTCTAGACTCAGTGACTTCTCCTACAGAGCTGTTGCTCATCTCCCATCATCTTGTTGTCCTTCTCTGTTCTTGCCTTTTACTATACTTCCCTCCCCTATCAGTGTACAAGACTCAAGAACTAATGTATCACACATTTAAATAGTGAGAATTCTGGAAGCTTTCACAACAGTGCAGATTTACCTTAACTTGCTTTAGTCCATTTGAGATTTAATTTTATCTTTTAGACAATGCAACATATGCAAAGTAGACAACATAAAAAACCAAAATCTGACATTTCAGGCCTGTACTAATAACAAACCAAATATACTCTGTCTGAATATATCTGTGCATGTGTCAGAGCTAAGGAAAACTAAGTCTGACCAATGTAACCAGAATCCACCATCAATAATATGCCATAAAAAATAGCTCAATTCCAGCCAGGCAACGCTTCTGCTCTCAGTCCACATCCAAATACATTAAAGTATTTTATGTAGCAATTTTTCTTCAGTTTGCTTATGACCTAATGAAATTGCCTCCCTTTCATCTCCCCAAAACACTTCTATGCTGGTAAATATTCAATTGATTACCTGTCTCCAAATCGGCAGGAACCTGTTTTAATATAGAAGGGGCAATTCGCTCTATCCTTCTCTGTTCCCAGATTCTCTGGGGGCTCTGGGTTATGCCAACTCACACCATTCTCCAGCTGTGGAAAAAACATTAAAATACACAGAAGTTAGAAAAAAGAAAGGGAATGGCTAAAATAAAACTGACAACTGAATCCACGTGCAATTGTGAGCACTGGGCTGCTACAAGGCAAGCTGAATCTATTTACAGCATTGTTTTCAAAGCTGCCCAGTGCCTTGGGCAGCTTTATACACCTGTGCCATGCTTTAGCCCCAGCCAGACACCAAGCCCCACACAGCTGCTCATTCACTGCCCCACCAGCTGGATCAGGGAGAAAGTAAGAAAGGTAAAAGCTGGAAAACCCATGGGTTGAGATAAAGACAGTTTAATAGGGAAAGCAAAAGCCATGTACACAAGCAAAGCAAAACAAGGAATTAATTCAGTGCTTCCCAAAGGCAGGCAGGTGTTCAGCCATCTCTAGGAGAGCAGGGCACCATCACATGTAATGGTGACTTGGGAAGACAAATACCATCACTCCAAAAGCCCGTGCCCTTCCTCCTTTTTCTCCCCCCAGGTTTATATACTGAGCATGGTGTCATATGGTCTGGAATATCCCTTTGGTCAGTTTGGGTCACCTATCCCGGCTGTGTCTCCTCCCAACCTCCCATGTATCGCCAACTTCCTTGCCAGTGTGGCAGCATGAAAAGCATAAAAGGCCTTGGCTCTGTGTAAGCCCTGCTCAGCAATAACAAAAACATCTCTATGTTATCAACCCTATTTTCAGTGCAAATCCAAACCACAGCCCCATACTGGCCACCATGAAGAACATTAACCAGCCAAAACCAGCACAACTGGGAGAGAGAAAGCTAGGACTATTTACCTGTTTGAGCAATAGCTCAAAGCTCAGCAAGCTTAGCATTATTGCTGTTCTGTGCATCTAGAAAAGGCTAAAATAAAAACAACATGCCAAAGGCTGGAATTTAAAAAAATTAAATTCATAGTTAGCACTGGAAGTAAAAGTGCCCATACTGGTCATTTTGGTCCATTAAGATTTCTATAATTCCAAACAGGCTTACCAAGTTGCAAGCCTTGACTGACTACAACCAAGACACACATTTTAAAAAGGGAATTTTCATTCTAACCAAACAATCTGTAAAGCTGAGTGGCTTTACAGTTCTCCTTTTAAATCAACTGAAAACTGTTTATTTACAAGCAGCATTTGACCCTGCGACCAGTTCTGCTCATGACTTGCAGCCACAATTTACTCTCACTAGAACAGCACTGTTACTTCAGCAGTAACTGAACCCTGAACTGATACTATAATGCAGTCTCTTAACATACCACATTTCTGCCTATTCCTTTGCAGACATGGCTGCTAATACATCTTGAGCTCTGGGCAGGTAGCAGTTCAGAGCATTCTTCTACACATATTACGAAACAGAGTTAGATCCCTACCTAAAGAACTGTTTAAACATGATTTGGAACCAAATGTAGCTGTGGCGATCAACACACAATGGATTAACTAGGTTAAAACTTATTTTTCAGATTCATGCAGTGGTTTAAACAGAGCTAGAATCCTCACGAGTTTAATTTTATGACAGAGATAAAAAGCCAAATTATTCTTTAAGGCAATTTCTAAGATTCAAATGAAAACTGCAGTTTTCTTTGCTACACACTGCTAGCTTGTGATCCATGCTCTTCCAGGCATCTGAACAGTCAGCTTCTTCCTCCCCGATCTTTTTCTTTTCTTTTCCTTAAGAATCTGTGCCCTCCTCTACCAATGAATCCTCTTATTTAGAGCCTGCCATCTGCTTAAAAAGACAAGTTTGTCTTGCCACCCAGGACTGACAGATTTATTTAGAATTACAATTCACAAATAAACCATCATGCACAGTGGTTTTTTACAACACACAGCAGTATTTCCAGGTTCATTTTGACTGAGATCTCCTGAACAGTCATCAGCATGCACAGCTGCACTGCCACCAACCAGCCAGAAATATGCTTAATTATGTTCTACCCAGTAAATAATTGTTTACAGCTCATGCAAGCCACTATATATTAAATTTATTCAGGCCATTAGGTTCTCAAGAGCAGATGGACAGCATGCTAGAAGACAAACACCGGATGGAAATTAAATTACTTTTCAGTTCTTTTTCAAAAAGTCTCTGAGCATACCTGGCTTTCAGCTTGATCCAGCATCCTCTGCACAGCTGCCTATAAATGGTGCAAACACAGGACTAGTGAAAACCCTGAGGACACGCAAAACATCTGTTGTCTTTAGTTAAGAACCTAATTTACAATACTCAGTGATTATGCATAATGAAAGTTTGATGGGGTTTGCTTGAAAAACAGGAGATTTACTTTGGCTCTGTAGCAGTTCATGTACTACAAAGTTATTAAAGGATACATACTTATGTAGATGATTTTCTAAACTAAACAATGGACAACTTAGAAGTTTAATTTTCTTTTTTAAAACTGTCATTGAACTACTGAATATTTAAATGTATCTCCTGCTCTAGCACACAGCCTAGTTACAGGTAAGTCCATAATTGTTTAGTTGCACTAAACTTTTTAACTTCAGCATTCTGTGTAACACACAGAAAAACACAATGCTCAGTGAGTCTCTGTTAAAGCGAAAGATGTAACTCTTAAGAAACCTAAACATCATAAGTTAACTGTATCTAGCCTTCCAATTACAGGAAGACAATGAGGATATTCTTTCCCTTACTTCTTCTAACTGGGCTGAGCAAAACTATATCACTCTCCAAATCTGGCTGGAAATTGGTTATAACAAATTATTCTAAGAAGTTGAAAGAAAAAAAGACATTTAAACATAACCAAAACAAGAAAATATGCTAGCACTGTTCTAATTTGGAAGAGAATTAATTAAATTAAAAAAGAGCAAATAAAAATTAAAAAATGCAATCCAAGATGAGAACCCAGAGAGCATCTGGTACTAATCACCACGTATGTCAGATATTATCCATCCTATTAAAGAAAACCAAAACAGAACAAACAAACAAACAAAAAACCAAACTACATAAACAGAAAAACAAGCTAAAACAAAAAAACACAAATAAAGCCCCAAACTACCACCAGTCACCAAATCAGAAAATCTATTTTTTCATCTTAGGGAGGGAAATCAGTTTCTTTTATAAATCACTGCTAGAATTTGAATAAACTGCTGTTTCAAGACACAGGCAAAATCAATTAAAAACTCTCTGTTGCTGGAATGGGTGGCTCCGCTCCTAGCTGGGTAATCAGTTTCCCTCTGGGTACCTGTCAATGCCCTCTATGAGCCAATTTAACTCACTAACAGTAAAACAGTAACCTAGAAAAACACAAAGCAAACAAGCCAACAAGGAAGCAAAAAAGAAAGCAGCTTCCATCTAGTTCAGAGACCCAAATTATCCCACTGAGGGCTTGGGCAAACCCAGGCACCAGGAGAGAGGGGAGCAACAAAATCCTGCTGTTACCATGGTTCAACTCTCTTTGAACTATATCTCAACCTTAAATCAAGGACACAAGCATCGTTTTCTCTCCCTATTCTGCAAAGAGAGAAATGGACTCAACACTAGAGGAAGTAAGACAGGAAATACAACAACTGCTGTTCTTTGGCATTCCTTATGCAAGTGTAACATCATCAGTGGCACAACCAGCTATTAACTGTGGGAGACAGAACTATCTGCTCATGGCTCCTCTCCTGCTGTGGTTACCAGATGCAGTAGCAAGACATCTCCCAGTGAAACAACTCGAAACTTTTGTGATTGTGGAGAATCAAAAATGATCAGATCCTAGAAAGCTGCAGTCACCCTTCACTGGGAATAACAGGCCAGTCCTCACACTGGATTTCTCTACAGGACATCCTACATCCAGGTCATTGAACTTCTAAAACTTAAGAAGAGTGTATCATTAACAGAAACGTCATCAATGACTTGTATCTTCAGTATAATTTTTTATTCCACCCAAGGAGCTCTGAAAAAAGATACGTCCTGTTGGATGAGTCAGGTAAAGAAGAGCTGTAACACATCTTTTGATTAAGAACTGTGTTAAGGAACAGCAGCAATGTACTTCCATATTCCATATCCTCTTTGGGCATTTTCTTCAGCACTGACTGTGTTCAACTGAGACATTAAGGAAGGACCATCTTTAACACATGATGCAGAAAGTGCACATATCAGAACCTGCATTGGCAGTGTGCCTTCGTATTTAACCGATGTAAGCAAATACATACTGTGGATAACCAGATGTGTTAAAACAAGTTACCCTTTATATGGATTCATTAGATGCTCTTTAACAGTGATTAACGGTTTTAGGAAATCAAATAGAATGGAGTAACCAACACATTTATACATTTGCTAATTATAACAAAATCCCTCTTCAACATGCATAACTGTTGCATCTCATCATGTAACAGGATATGTAACATGTTTATCCTCCCACCACCAGGAATCACCTCTCTCTCTTTCTTCTCCTGTTGCTTCTGCTGTGCCACTTCTCTCTCTTTTCTTTGCTGCTCTTCCCATTCTTCTTTGATCTTCCTCTTTATGATAAAAAAATTAATTATTTAAGGAAATAATGCTTTATAATCCAAGTCAAAACTATCTTGTTTGACCCAAACAACTCCTTGATCATTAAGTTTCCATCCAATCACAAGCAACTAAATCTCTGGACAAAAACTCTTTTAAAGAGTTGCTGTTTTCTCTTCCTTTTCAAGTTTGCTCTTCTAAATAAAAGACAGAAGAGCTTGTGCTTTCAAACACACCAGGATCAAGAAAAATAGGTCCACGACAAAACAGTAAGAATATTACCCTAAGTCTACCTTATTTCCAGGCACAACAGTAACAGTCAGTTTATACATCACCTCTTCTTCTTCTTGCCGTTTTCTTGCAGCCTCTTCTTTTTCTTTCTTTAGCTTGAACTCTTCTTGGGCCTTTTCTTCTCTCAGCAACCACTGCTCATGTAGTTTTTGTCTACCAAGGAAACCAGACACAACTCAGACCCTCCATTTAATGAGTATCCAGAACTGACGCGATTGTCATGCACACAATTCAAATTTATTGCTCCAGCAATAACTGCAGCTTATCTAATCTTCCTTAAAAGAGAAAATTCAGATGGAATCATTCAGGCATTAGAGAAAAGAATGGTGTAGCCTGAAATATTAAGAAATATTCTGTTTTACAGAATATATTCAAACTTTTCGAAGTATAAAAATGGAATTGACTACCAAAGTGTCTACTGCATATATGCCATTTCCAAGATTTTTCACCTTTCTGCCTCAAGTTTTTTTTCTTCTTCTTCTTCCTCCTCTTTCTCCACTTCCTCCTCTTCCTCCTCAGACACAGATTCATCTTTTTCTGTAGCTTCTGAGAAAAAAACACAAAACAATGCATCTACATAACTGGATGCTACAGCCAGCAAAGGATACACAGAATTATATCCTTAAAAAAAAAAAAAAAAGGAAAAAACCAAAAAATCCAATCACTTCTAGTTCCACTGACAGCATCAAGCACTTCACAGTTACCTGAGTCCCTTAGTTTGGCAAGCGCCTGCCGCTTTTTTTTCCTCTTCTCTTTCTTCAGAATAGCTCTGTACTTTTGATGGCTGAAGATGAGGAACATGAAGATGAGAAAACAGCCAAACAACTAATTTTTACTGTCATACATGCAATTAATTTCCTTCAGCAGAAAAAAATCCCACAAAACGCAAAATTAACAGCCACTCGTATGAAACAGTAACTCTGCAGCGGCATCTGACATGACAATGAAATCTGTAGATCTGTGGCTGTGCTCTTAGAGGTGCACATGGGCAGCAGCAACAAGACACCACACAGGGTCTCATCCTTCTTGAGCTCTGCAATGTTTGACATTATCACCAACTCCATGAAATCTCTCTCAGCTCCTGAAACTTGGTCACTAGATCAGATCAGGAAGCAAAACTTGGGGATCTTCTACCCTCCAATTTTGGCACACCTTTCAGCACATTCAAGTGTTTTTATGAAATTACAAGTTTTCTCTCATTTCCCTTGATACTCTCCACTGGCAATAGTCTCAATGCACAGATAACAAAACACACACCACACCCCCCACAATGCTCAGTTCTGCTCTTCTGCTGCAGAAGCTTGGCCATACTCTCCCTTGCTTGTCTAACAGCTCCGCGTGGCTGCCTACAACCAGCACCATGTTTGCACTGTGGTTAAACCCCCTCTAAGTATCTAAAACCTTTTCACATCAACCGCTTTTCTGGCAATTTTCATTCGAGGTCCCTCTTCCATTCCAGTTCATAATGGAAAAATAGGAGGGAGGGACGATCTCCAACTCCTGTCATTGTGCCACACCAAACACTGATGGGACATCAAAAACTTCCCACTTTGGAGTGTGTAATTTTAAAAGATTCCACAAGCATAACTCAGAACTTCACCAGCATCCCCAATCCTTCTGTTCAGGGCTGCTCACATGGTCACCACCTGCAGTGGTGCCATGGTGACACCAGGGTGGCTGTCCCGGGAGCAGCACTGCCCTCGAGAGCACTGTCCCTATATGGGCCCTCTGACCTGGCCAGCCTGGACACTCTGTGTCTCTGCCTGAAACGGACTGCATCCCTCAGCAGGTGCCTGGAGATGAAAGCAAGAACCTCCTTCCCAGTTATCACGCTTCCTTAGGCACTCCTGAAGCCCAAAGCAGGAGAACAATTCCCCTCACTCCCGGCCCAGCACAGCACACCGCTGAGACGCACTGAGCAGCACCGCCCCAACAGCTCCAGGGCTGGGCTTCGCGTCCCCCTCGAGCCGAATGGCACTGGAGCACGGCCTTGGCAAAGACCTGGACACCCGGGCCGGGGGCTTCCGTCCCTGCGGCGGGGTCGGACGGGGCTCAGCCCGGGGAAGGAACACCCCGCAGCCTCCCTGCGCCTCTCATCGCCACGGCCGCCGCTCCATCGGGCACTCCCCGCCCCGCGCGGCTCGGGCGGGCACGGCGGCCCCGCTGCCCCGGGACCGGCAGGGAGCGGCCCCGGCAGCGCCCCCCGCCACTGCCTGCCGGCTGCCCCTCCGGCCCCGCTCGCCGTCCCCGCACGGCCGCGCTGCCGCCCCGCGCCTCTCGGC